TGTGTTTTCCACGTGTTTTAATTAGTTTTCCAGAGTTCGTCAGAGCCACCAGAGGCACCCCAATCCATCCCATTTCAAGTCCCATTTGTCAGCTTGTGAGTTATGAAGGACATCCCCCATCTCCCATCTCCCATTGGCCGTTGCCGTCTTCATTGTCGAATAATGAACATCACAAATCAACGGTCGGTTCGTCATTAGGCACAATGGCCCTTGGCCAGGCAGTCCCTCTAGTGCCAGGAGTAGGAGGCGGTCTATGCATAATTTTTCAGCTCAGTGAAGCAAAAACAAAAGTGTTGACAGCCCAAGTGTAGACGCTGTGTGGTGGCTGTCCCAGACAGGTGCAAGTGGAGTACATAAGCAGGGGGTGTGGCCGGAGGTATGCGTAGCTACAAAAGTAATTAGAGAAAAACCAGCTGTTGCCTGTAGATTAATTGCCTCCCCCACACCGCCCAGAGGGTGGGGCAAGAGGATGCAAAAATAATGTCCTGAAACTTTGCTCAGCTATACAAAAATTATTGCCATTTCGTTGTTCGATGAAAGATTGGGATGAAGCTGAGAGATTTCCAGTATCCCTGCCCTGACGTGCAGTGCCATTGTGTCCAACATTTCTACAACTAAAAGAAAAAAAGTTGCAAGCAGTCTTACATGGCTTCCAAGGGGATCCTTCAATACTGATCTGTCCAGGTGCCGTCTGGACGTTGATATGCAATGACTGCGCCATCAAGTGGCCCATGCGACACCAAGCCAAAGCCTGTTACGCGCGGAACCCAGCAGAACGAAGCCCTCCTCCCGCCCAACCGACCGAGGGGCGCTGCCGCATGACGCGCGGCGCGATTAACCGAACCGGTCGCGAGCATGCAGGAAAGATAGATGTTGACTAATATGAGGAAAATTAGAACTAAAAACAACTAAACTAGAGCAACTATACTATAAAATGAAACTAACTACGGGAGAGGTAGGCTAGTATAAGAGATTTAAGAAGAGGAAGGGTTGAGTATATAATGTGGTAGAGAGAATTATAATCCGAGCATAAAACCCTAAAGGGTTCGTGTGAAACACAATTCGATCTACATAGTGGAAGGAACAAAGGAATAAAGTTTCTAGTGGGTCTAATGGGAATCGTAAAGTTTATGCGGCTCAGCAAGTCAGGGCTGTCTACATCCCCCTTGATCAAGTTGTGCATAAAAATTACACCAAGCATTTTTCTACGACTAACTAAGGATGGAAGATTTATTAAAAGAGAGGTCGAGCTTTTGTGCAAGAAGAGAATGGTTTACGGAATCGAATGCCTTACTGAAGTCAGTGTAAATAACATCCGTCTGCAAGTTACTTTGGAAGCCTTTAATTACAAAGGAGGTGAACTCTAAAAGATTAGTGGTTGTTGATCGTCGCCGTAATTTAGGCACGACTCGACCTCTATATTCACTAAACGTCTCTACGAGCAAGTGCGGAGTTAAAAGTTTCTCGAACATTTTAGGAATAGCGGATAACTTAGATATACCTCTATAGTTTTTAGCGTCAGACTTGCTACCTTTCTTATGTAGAGGAATTATAAAGGATTCCTTCCAGATGGGGGGAAAGCTAGAAGAATGGATGAAGAGAGTGAATAGTTTAAGCAAAGGTCCGCACAGAGACTCGGCACAGTACCTGAGTACACAGCCGGGAGCTCCGTCAGGGCCCGGTGAAAATACCGGCTTAACTAATTGAAGTTCATGAAGTAAGGAGCCTTCAATAAACAAAGGGCAGAAAATGCCATTCGACCTTGGTAAACTATATGGATACATATGACCTGGGTAGCTTTCCTGGGAATAGGTGGTTTCATATTCAACGAGAAGGGAGGTTTTCGCCCTTTTGCGGGGGCGGAAGGGGGCGTGTCTCAATTTTGAAATACACTGGTTTCAGTGTGAGCATATAGCAGTCTGGATGCAAAATTTGGTGGCTCTAGCTCTTATAGTCTCTGAGAACTAGCCGACAAACAATACGGACAGACAGACATGGCTCTATCGACTCGGCTATTGATGCTGATCAAGAATATATATACTTTATGAGGTCGGAAACGCTTCCTTCTGTGCGTTACATACAACCGTTATTCGCACAAATACAATATACCCTATTTACTCTTTGAGTACCGGGTATAAAAAGCACAAACGCACGACTAAACGACGCACAAAATAAAGAGATTAACTTTATATTTTTACACAAATAACAGGCATGCACTCGCGTATCAGGACAGGTTAAAGTTGTAAGGCATTCAGTATGCAAATTTAGAAATTATTCATATAAACACCGGTTGTGCATCCAAAATAGAAAAGAAAGTGTGGAGCGCAAAACAACAACACGTCTGGTCACTACGAAAGAGAACGAACGAACATGCCGTGCCAGGCATATGTGCGACTTATGACCACTGGCTGAAAATCATCAATGCCCCGTGGCTTGTCCACCCCCGTCCAACCTTCGGAGAAATTCCTTTGACAACTTGCATTGACGCTTGTTTATTGAATGCCGCAAAAGCCATTCGCTGCCCAACTGACCACTAAATGCTGCCTGACTAACTAAACAGCTGAGTCCCCAACTGAGCTGAGTCGCAAATTAATTAATTAACTGTAAATTACTGCACACACTGTGTCCCAAATCCACCAAAGAGATGCACGATTTCAACAAAATATTTTGTTGACGCTGTCCGCTGCTGCTCTTCCCTTACCTTTTCCATGTATGTTGCCTGTGCATCCAAGTGTCTAACATTCTGTGAACTATGGTGATTTGTGTTTAATAAGCCGAATGACACAGCAACCCCCAGCAAAGAGCTGGTAGTCGCTCCTTAGATATGATATAATAGAATAAAATAATAATACAACATAATAGAATATACGAATATTTAGAGAATAGTTTTAGAAACTTTTTAATTTCAGTTTTCAGGCAGAGCTTTGCCAGAGCTATTTTGACTCAAAAATTACCCAGAGTGTGAATGAGAGTATGTGCAAAAAACAAATATAACTTGCGGGACGGGGTGGGTTTAGCCACTGCAAATTCATTTCTTCATTCTGGCTATAATAATGATCCAATCGGATCCCCATTCAATTATCTGATAGACATGGTCATTCCCTACGAAATGGCGTTTTTAGTCTTCTTTTATCTTAAAAATTTTGAATACCGCAGATTTTTCGCCCTTTTGCGGGGCTCATTTTTTTAATTACACTTGAATCAGTGTAAGCATACTGGATGTGTCTGGATGCAAAATTTGGTGGCTCTAGCTTTTATGGTCTCTGAGATCCAGGCACTCAACAAGACGGACGGACAGACGGACGGACAGACAGACATGGCTCAATACTTTATGGCGTCGGCAACGTTTCCATCTGTGCGTTACATACATTGTGCACAAATACAATATACCCTATTTACTCTTCGAGTACCGGGTATAAAAATTCCTTGTGTCACCCTGCCAAATGAGCTTGCCTGTTAAAAGCATCAAATATGAAGAAGTTGTGACAGAAATCAACTGCTTGAACAATAAAAAAGCACCAGGCCCCGATAAAGGCCTGACCAGGTCCCCCTAAAAATTTTACCACCAAGTCAATGCAAATGTGCAGAGATCATTATGATCCTAAAGCCAAACAAAATAGAAACGGAAATGGCATCATACCTTCCCATTAGTCAACAGACTACTGTTGACAATATTCTCGAAAGTGTTTGAAAAAATACTTCAACATTCTCTGTTGCCAATTTTGGACGAACTTTCCATCATTACTGAATGCCAATTCGGATTCAGGAGAGGTCACGGGACCCCTGAGCAATGTCACAAGGTTATTAATGATATAGTCTCGGCATTTGAAAACAAAAAATTCTGCACTGCTGCATTTCTTCATTTCAACAAGCGTTCGATCGAGTCTGGCACAAAGGTTTATTGTACAAGATAAAGAAATGGCTACCTGGTCCGTACTATTTATTAATCAAATCATATCTGACTAAAAGATGCTTTTACGTGCAGCAGAAAAACGATACATCATCACTACTTCTCATCACCGCAGGCGTCCCACAAGGAAGCGTTTTGGGACCAATTCTCTACAATTCTGGCCGACATGCCAGTTACAAACAACTGCACTGCTGCAAAATATGCTGATGATACACTGAACGGCTCACCAATTCCACAAAGTACCTGTGTGAAGTATCTCGGCTTGCATCTCGACCGCAGATTAACACCAGCAGATTAAAGTCAACAACTTAGACTTAAAACACTAAAAAACACTGCTAGCAACTCAAATATTGAGATACTTCAGCGTTGCCAATCAAAAACTTTGTGACACATTGCCAATGCTCCTCTTTACGTATATAATGCAAATATCCACAAAGATCTTAATATTCCAACCATTAAATAAGAAATAAATAAAACTAGTAATAAATACATCGACAGACTCCACAACCACGAAAATAATTTAGCTCTAAGTCTATTAGACAATGGCTTAACAGTAAGAAGACTGAAATGATACCACATTCTCGATCCCAAGATAGATAAATCCAACAAACTGAAAAAATGTTATATATAATATTGGGCAGACAGATTGTAAATAAAAAGAGAGAAAAAATCTAGCCATAAATTAAATTAACAATTATTGTCCGCAGCTAATTGACATTAATGCCAGTATTATGGATTATTGGGAAGAGAAGAATTTCACATAATTCATAATTCATATATGTATGTATGTACATTTATTCATCTATATTCACATATGTATATTCTGGAACGCTAAACAAACATTAAACCATATCATAAACTCGTGGAATATACATATATTTTAAATGATTGAATTTCTATCTGTATCTGTATCAGTTTCTGTATTTATCTGTGTTATTTTGTGTTTTTTTGTTTGTTGCAAATTTAAGTTGTTTAAGTGTTGCTGGACCTTGTGTGTGTTTTCCTTCTTGTGGGATCATTGAGCGTTGTGCTAATTCCAGGTAGTTCCCACAACTATTCTCCCTTTACGTGTCCTCTGTGGGCTCAGCATTCACTCGATGATGCGGTGATTGCAGATCAGGCGGTATAGTCCTATCAACAAGTTGTCCGCCTCCTGGATGGTCATGGCATACACGTAGACACGCCCATGGTCATGCAGCTTCGCCACCACGCCTGGTATTTCACTGGTCACATAATACACATACTGCGAAGAGACATAATCGCGGCACGTCGGGGTGGACAGCACATAGCGTTCGCCGAACTTCTTTAGATCGATATTGAAGCCAAAATTGGCCGTGGACCGCAAGCGCAGGTACTGCACGTTGTGCCCGGGAGCAGCTTTAAAGTGGGGAACATTCAATATGGGGGCCAGTAGTTTCTCCTGCACATCGATCAAATCTCTTTTGTCTTCGTGACAGCCATTGATGGTAGTTAGGGTGCCATTTGGCCAGAGCCACGATATCCGACATAGCTCCGAGTACTGGTGATGATTCTGGTACTTTTGCAGGACATCGATGTGATTCTTGTAGAGGCTGCCGAATCGTTGCAGTTTGCTGGCCGCCGACTTGAGATCGATTGTCTGGTTCAAGTGCAGCGTGCAAAAATGTCTGGAATACTTCAATTCAATCCGAAAGGTCAGGGTTTCCAAGGTCTTCCTTTTCCGTTGCGACATTATATTAAACCTGAGCAGTAACTGTGAGCGGGCCGTCGGAAGTTTTGTGTCCAGCTTGCGGCACAGGTTTCGACGCGAACCCTCGCCAAATCGCTCAACCCATTTGCTGCGCAATGTTTTGGCCTGCGGATCGCGATGCTCGCTTGTGGTTTCCTCGCAAATGTCCTCGAAAGTGTCCAGCATTGAGGGGTGGCTCCGCTGGCAGCCATTTTCTTGCAAGGTCGATTCCTTTTCAATTTCAACCTCGAAACGGTCTTCCCTCAGCAGAGACTTGTACTGGGATGTCAGGATTTGGCTAGTCTGCTGCAGCCACTGCTGGCACTCGGCTTCATCTTGTGGCTTGGGCTGCACATCTCCAATGTCTTCAGGCTGCCGTTGCTCTTCCACGTTCAAGACCTGCTCCTCCTCCTCCGAGGCAACTGCAACTGCTCTTGTCTGCTCTTTCGGCAGCTTCTGCGAGTATGGAACCAATTGCTGGAAGGTCTCTGGCAATTTATTCTGCAGAGCATTGACTTGTTCTACTTCAGGCGGCACATCCGGTTGTGCCGGTTTTGGCTGTGTGGAGTGTTTTGGTGTTGTGGGTCTCTTGTAAGGGGTTGTGGGTCTCTTGTAATGGGTTGTGGGTCTCTTGTAAGGGGATGTGGGGCCGGGAATGCGGCAGTTTAAGGGCCAAGCTCGATCCAGATCGAGCCGACCCGGTTCGACGTTCTTTGCCATCTGAAGGATTTCCTCAGATGTTGGAATATGTCCGGTCATCTCAGATGGAACTGCTGGCAAAGAGCTGTAAAATGGTAAGAAAAGATCTTTAGGATATGTTTTATGCATTCCCTCGATACACCGCGAAATATCAATCAAATTAAGTGCAGAAACTGTTTGGCATGGTTATCTTTTCATATCACAATTCCGATCTAGTNAATGGGTTGTGGGTCTCTTGTAAGGGGATGTGGGGCCGGGAATGCGGCAGTTTAAGGGCCAAGCACGATCCAGATCTAGCCGACCCGGTTCGACGTTCTTTGCCATCTGAAGGATTTCCTCAGATGTTGGAATATGTCCGGTCATCTCAGATGGAACTGCTGGCAAAGAGCTGTAAAATGGTAAGAAAAGATCTTTAGGATATGTTTTATGCATTCCCTCGATACACCGCGAAATATCAATCAAATTAAGTGCAGAAACTGTTTGGCATGGTTATCTTTTCATATCACAATTCCGATCTAGTTTGCCTTTGCACAAAATGTCAAAGACAACAAATGTTGATTAATCTTTTACTGCATTTAATAGGAGGATTTGGAAATATATTCTTTAAATGTAATTACCAACTGTACCTTTTCTCTCCCTCTGCATCCTGGTGTGTTTGCAGGCTTCCATTTGGCTGTGCCACGTAGTCGAGGGGTTCGAACTCGTCTGTGCTGCTAGAATGTTCCATTTTGTCTGAATATGCTTTCCGGAATTTGATTGATATTTGTTTCTCTTACCTTTGGGTTGCCACTTGCTCGGCCATCTCAATGTCCTCGACTTGCCCTCGACTTCCTTTATTTTTCCCGATCTTATTGCTCATCTTGATTTCTTGTTTTATTTGCTTCGCGACTCAAATGAAAACTAATGACTAGCGAAACGTGTGGATATTTTTGAATAAAATAAAGCAAAAGTTACACACAAAAATTCCAAAAGCAAAACAAAATAAATATTTAGATCTGTTCTCGACGAGTTACAAAATTGGAATGAACTAAATCCTGGCTTTGCCTACGACCTCAACAACTTCACAAGTCGGAGCCTACTTAGATGGGGAATTTTTGTGTGTTTTTCATAAGGAAGTGGTTTTTTTTTTCTATCAATTTTTGAAAACTGAGTACTGAAACTACTGGTTTTATGTGACAGATACTTACCATTTCAACAAATTCTAGCCACAGGAGTCGGCACACCTCTTGGTGTGGGATCGCAGCTAATGAGCTAATGGTTCATATTCCTCTCATATTATCTCCGCCCAAAAGTCTGAGGGTAAGAAGAGCAGCTCGGTCTGCCAGGTAAAAGGCATGGACAGCATTTTTTCGATCCTTTTCCGCCCTTCGACCAATTTTGTTCGGTGTAGGATGCAACGGATCTTTTTACTTTCATCTTTCTGCTTTCATCAACAGCTTTGAAGATGTTGTTTAAAGACGGACGGACGGAAAGACTGACAGACAGATATAGAAATGCCAGCCAAAAAGACACAAATATTCCACAAGTAGTAGTGGCCATGGAGCCAGGGCTCAAATGCATAATTTATATGGGTGCAGTGGAGCAGCCAGCTACATGTGGCATGCTGAGACCCTGTAGCAGTAATCTATCAGCAGATCTGTGAATAATATTGATTGCCTAGTCAACCCGCTGCTACCCTTGGCTGTAGCTGCTAATACATCAAATTGTTTGGGCACCGAACCCATAGACACTCGGAATTATAATCGAGTTAACTGGATATGCCAGCAACATGCTTCCAGTATCCGAATGACTTCAACTCCAACTCTGACTCTGCAATTAAACTTTCCCAACTGAATAATTCAGTCTAAAATTATCCATGCGAATGGGGGGGTTGGTGGATAGTGGGTATGAGGGATATCCAACTTCATGTAATTGAGTGTAAACTTGTCGGAGCATTTATTTAATGCTTAATCAAGTGATGTGTAGCACATGACTTATCCACTTTGCCAGCTCTCTCTGACTGGGCTCTGCTCTGGGCTGATGCTTTGTGTTAATGCCATTGCCAATGCCAATGCCAATGCCAAAAGTGTTGTGTCAGTTTCTTGCCTGTCAAAAGTTGTGCTGTGTCCAATTAGCATCATTTTCTATGCTGTCTCAACTTTTGGCCCCCCTTTACCCCTTAGCTTATTTGGCTAATGCAACAGATAGACAGCAGCGCAACACTATCCCTGACAGTATCTAAATTGCCACACAAATAATACGATATTCACTTCAAGTTGTTGTTTCAACTGTGGGAGTTGGGAGACAAAAATGTAACCCAGTTAATGCCATTTTCTGCTCAGGTGAATTGCTCCCACATTAACGAACGTCTTGTAATTATTTCAGATGTGTCACGTGTGCGGCAATTAATCATTTGGATCTGCTTTGGATTGGGTGCTAATGTGCCGTGACAGCCAGCCTCGCTTCAGAATGAATGCGGGAAAATGCGAAATGCATTTCCCATTTCTGAATGATTTCTAATCCCTTCACTCAAGCCACAATTCGTAGCAGCCATCGGTAGTGCCATTTCCGGTGACAATTGCAGTTACTGCCAGCAGCCAGCGATGATGTTGCGGCACCTTTGAAACGAAGAGAAAAATCAACAGCTGGCAAAGAGCGCGCCAGAGCCAAGGTCGTTCTTGGCCTCTCTCTTCTCACCACGCTTCGTCGGGCATTGCGGCGATGAGGCACGACACAGTATACGACTCGTCACACGGCACGAGGCAAAAACTCACCACTAAACGAGGAGGCGCATCCGTGTTGCCACAGTGTTGGGGCCACTGAAATCGCTGCCATTCAGTTTAACGTTGAACTCTGCTGCTGAAAGTTGCTTACGCCAACCAGCCACGGATCAAAGACTCAGTCAAGCAATCAGTTAGCCATTCAGTCAACCAACTCGATGCCAGAGTCAACCAGGAAACTCGTCAGCCAGCCATTCGAACAGCCATCGCCGCACAGCGACAGGTCGCGACGTGTGTCCTTCCTCACTCTCCGGTGATTCCTAAAGTCCAAAGTACAATCCATACAGTCGAACGGACAGTCGGTCAAAGTGTCTCCCCGCTATTTATCGTCATTAGTCTTCAAGAATTTGTAAACCACGCGTTTCGTGATTGTTTTCGAGCGCTGCTGCCGCTGATTTGTTTCAATTTTGTGCAGTGTGAAATATTAAACGATTGCTTTTTGTTGTTTTTTTTTTTCTGTGATTCCCTGCCGGCTCATCACACACACACACACACACAAACACACGCACACACAGTGCGTATGATTAATATTCAATGCAAAAACTGTCCAACAAAGCGTGAAAAAAATAGCAAAAAAAAAGTAAATAAAGAAAAACAGCAAACGTGTTAGCTGAGCGGCAGTAGATACGCAGCAATAGCCCCATAAGAACCACAAAACCAAAACCAAAGCCAGAGGTAACCAGAGAGGCAAACCCATCGAAAATCAACAAATCAACCAAATCGCCTGCTGGCTGGAACGATCGAACGGTTAGTAAACACAAGCACACAGTTTTTGTTTGTTTCCCCCTCTGTGGGGGAGTGGAGGCCGCCCTAACCTCCCTTACCATATCCATTTATAATCCATTTGCAAGTGCAATTTTCCAACAGCAATTAAACAAACGAATTGCTAACATTAAGCAATGATTTTATGCATACAATTGATATACGATTTACATACAATTTACATAGATGCAAAGTGATTTTAATACTGCAATTTGATGTCCCAAAATAGAATATGAATTCGAATTCGAATTAGAATCTGTAATGTGTTTTCTCAGGGCAGCAAAGGGGTTCGCCAATATCCTGAAGTGTTTCTTTATGCAGCGCTAAAAGGTTCAATGGTAGCGCATTAACCTTTTAGCGCTGTTAACGTGCATCCGAGACCTCGAATCTGTATGTAATAATATGCAGAGAGACTCTCTGAAGATGAAAGTGTTTGGTACTACAGCGTTAAAAAGGTGCCAAGATGTGGATGATTGACCTTTTTAACGCTGTGCTTAGCTATGCTCATAACTCGATTGGAACGAAATGTTTTTGTGTTTCGTGTATTTGTATCGATCGATACAATCGAGTTATGTGACCATGCTTTGGTTTCAGTCTATGCTCTAAGTTGTGTTTTTAAAGCTACGAATGACACCTTTTGAGCGCTGAACTTGTATGAACTTGTAGGTGTTGTCACAAGATCCCACGCACAAAGCACACACATGGCGTAACAGGGGTGTACCTGTGGTGTTGCTGTGGTGTAACAGATGTGTAACAGTGGTGTAAGTGTGGTTTACCAGTCCCCTAACAGCGTGACAGTGGTGTACCAGAAGTGTAAGGGTGTAGTAGGTGTACAGGTGTATTGGGTGTACAGTCTGTGGACTCTCAGAAACATCCACACGTGGGCAGATTGATGTCGAGATTTAAGGCATGGGCGATGCGCACAATCGAGGGGATGCGAAGAGCGATGTGTAACTCCGAGTCATTCCATTGCATGCGTTGAGCAATATTCTGCAAATGGAGTTTGTTTCGATAGACATTTGGTTAACTTGAGTTGTGTTGATCGGCTCTACCCACCCTTTCGATCGGAAAAAAAATGCCTTTCGGATTGTGGTTCTTGCACTTGATAGCGCCTTCGTTCAAGGGCTCTTGGGTCTCGCTGTGCGTTCAAAGATAAGGGAAAAGATCAATGAATAATCAGATGAAAGGCAACAAAATAATTACCAACAGTCATCGCAGTAGGGTGAGTATTTGCAGAGCACTATAAGGGGAGGATGCAATAGATTAGTTCCTGTAGTGGCAAATCCCTTGGATGGATGCTCACCCAACTTGCACTTGGTGCAGATGAAGCCAATCTTATTGGCAAAGCCGTGACAGGCACAGCGGGCGGGCGTCATAATGTGTGGCTTAACCGCCTTGACCAGGAACGTGGGGTACAGGTAATGGTCGACCAGGCTTCCCACCAGAGTGAGTGTATCGTCGACGCAGAGGTAGAGGCCATCGGTGACCTCGGTGGCACGTTGCAGTGGCTGCTGCTTGGGCACCTTGATGCCACACACATTGATGGTCACATTGGTCTCCAGCGCCTCCTGGATGAGGTTGTCGTAGCGCTTGTGCACCTCCTGCTGCAGAACGGAGCCAGTGACCATGACAATCTGTGCCTGGACGCGACGTCGCGGATATATGTCCGGTATCTGGCGACGACGCTTCTGAATGTAGCAAAGAGCCAGTTCCAGGGCCTCGGCTAGCAGCGAGGGCTTCTTGTTGTCCACAATCACCTGGTCGGCATCGATATTGGAGAAGTCGCGCATCAACTCCTCCTTGACCTTCTTCAACACATTGTACTCCATGGTCATGATCGTGTCGAGTTGATAGTCGTAAGAGGTCAATGGTATATCAATCGAATGTGCCAGCATGCTGGAGGGGGAAGCCTGTCAAAGGGGTGGGGCCAGAGGGGGGGTGTGCACTCGGGCGCTACTCACACCATGTTCCGGGAGCACGCAATGACCCCCACTTCGTTGCGTGGACGGTCCAGCAGATGGCCATTGGCCAGCACCATGGCAGCTTCCTCCATATTGAAGACCATGTCTATTTTCCCCGGCTGTATGTAGCCCTGCCCAAAATCGATGTCCAAAATAAGCACCAAAATTTGCACATCTTCGGAATCTACAAAAGCGCGAGTGAAGAATGAGATCTGGCTGCTGCTACTGACTACTGACTACTAATACTCCCAATTATCCTCCGCCTCTCACTTACCCAACTTTGTTTTAGGCATTTTAAGGAAGCGCCGATTATCGCCCATGGAATCAGTGGGAATCGCATCGAGATGCCCCGCCTGATGGCCCTTCTGTTCTTCTGCTTCAATTTTTGAACTCGCCATTTGCGTGGTGGAAACATTGGAGCAACTTGGAAGTTCTGCTTCCATTTTCTAGTAATATTTCACAACTTATTCGTTTCTGCTTGCGCTCTCACAAAATCTATTGAATATTGAATATTGAATATCCCTCTACACACTGACGCCGTAAGCTGCTGAACAGAAAGTGTTGAAAAAGACACAAAGGCTGGCACTATTTGATCCGCCTACTAGTGTTGATGAGCGTGGAAATCAACGGTTGGGCTGAAACCTGAAAAATCCCTTGAAGAAAGTGTGACACAAAAGGCGAGGGCAGCAGCAGGGGGAAAGGGCAACCCTACATGATTTATGAGGCACATTAAATTGAATATTCAACATAATGTAGCATTTAAATGACCCACGCACAAGTCTCGCTCGCTCGCTCGCACGCATACAACAGCCACGGACAGAGGCCCAAAAGTCAGAGACAGAAAAATACATAATGCGAGTGTGTGTATACATATGTATATGTATATGTATCTGTGAGTGAGTGACACCGCCCACCGAAGGTCATCTGTGTTGGTTGGTGCCGCACCGACTGTGGGTGCGGCGTGTGGCTGCCCGAGCAAATTCTCAAAAAGTCAAGCAACAAGATCTGCCCCAACGCTTTCCTGGCTGCTCCTTACTTTCTTCATATTTGTGTGAAATGCGGAAATCGCTTGAAGTTTCGCCAGCGATTGAATACTTTCCGTTCCACAGAAAAACAACCAACAAAATATTCGCAACTTTTGTGCGTGTGTGCGAGTGCGATTGTGTGTGTGTGTGTGTGTGTGTGTGTGTGTGTGTGTGTGTGTGTGTGGGGCAGTGTGTTGGCTAAAGTAATTTACCAGCACAGCTGAAGGCAGGCGAACGTCGAGCGGCATCATAAATCACACGTTTTGCTCAAACTACAGAAAGTGGCACGCTGCATGGGGGGCCAAGGGGCATGGGGCAGATTAGTTTGGGTGCGGTGTGCTGGCAGCTACACGCGTTACGTGTCCAGGTCAAATGTCAGAAGTCAGCCAATTCTGGCCACACTCTAACAGACAAACAGTTTCATGCACCTTGGGCTTTTTTTCGAACTTTTGCACGCTTTGCAGCACTTTTTGGGCAATGCTATCGATACTTTGGATATCGATAGGATCGAGCGTGCATACGGCTCTAGAGCATTCCCTTCTTCTTTCGTTCGTCTAACGCAAAGGTCACCGTTCTTTTATTTTCCTGTGTTGTGTTGAGTTTTTGTGTGTTAAAAACCCAACTTTAATATGAAGAATAAAGCGGAAGAGTCTCAAGACAAGAAGCCGCATCGCAGCGATAATACTTTGGATTTTTTGGGATATTTGAAAGCCTCGCAGCGCATGGTATTTTGGGTAAGTAGTAGTATTAGTGCAACGACACACACACACACACACACAGGCATTGATACTCTCATACAACCTTAAAACTAGAAACCAGTGGCCAAGCGTATAAAGGTCGTCAAGTACGTCTGCCTCTCGGATGTGAGCTGCGACGTGGATTCGGTGGCAAGCACCTTGGCGTTGAGCTACTACCGCTACCGCAACAAGGAGTCGATTTACGATCACTATGTGCCAGTGCTGAATATGCGCCGTTGCGACTATGGCAACAAGCCGGAGCTGGCCTACATGCTGGAAAAGTGGAACATTTATGCGAAGCAGCACCTACTCTTCCGGGACGACATTCGAAGTGATTATTTTAAAGAATTCAAGTTCATAACAGTCAACCACCGCGACAGTGTTTTCCACCGTAACGTGGTGGAGTTTTTTGATTATCGTCCGGACCGCAGGGACGATTTGCCGCTGCCGGAGGGCTGCAAGCGCGACTTGAGCCTGCTGCCGATGCGCTCGTGCGCCGGCATGATCACGGCCCTGTACAAAAGAGACTCGATTGAGTGCCAGGTGGTGTACGATCTGCTGCGCACCGCGCTGCTCGTGGCCAACGTCAACTTCGTGAAGGTGCCGCCGCAGAAGCTGCGCGATCTGCGCGACCTCGAGATGCTCCATTATCTGGAGACGTACATGCTAAACAAGCCCATGGAGATGGCGGAGCGTGCCCAAGACTACCAGAAGCTGATCGAGTCCATGTTCGACTCCAAGTCGCTGCATATGGGAAAGCTGCTGCTGCGCGACTTCAAGGTGCTGAGGGCCACCGACGGAGACTCGTCGCGTCGCCTCGTCTTCACCAGCTTCCCGATGGACATCACCATGCTGGTCACCATCAGCCGCGCCATGTCGGCAGTCCACACATTCGGCAGGGAGCAGGGCGCCGACTTTATACTGCTGGTTAGCACCACACCGGGCGTGGCCGAGGACGATACCATGGCCGTCGGTCAGCTGGGCCTCATCGACATGGACGGACTGCGCGATTGCACCAGCTGCCATCTGTTCAACCACATGGTCATCAATCTGAACGCGTTCGCTAGTCCCCCGTTGGGGCTGCACCCCTTAACCCACATCGAATTTATGCACGGCTCCTTCTTCAAGTTGGATAAGTTGGATACGAGTGTGCAGGCGATGCTGCGCCTTGTGGAGCACATCGCGTATCACTGGACACTGACCTGAAGCTGTGTCGACGGGGACCCTCTGAAGTGACATACTTCGAACGCTATGAAAATATTCCGCAGTATTAATTCCACACATTATATGTGCATATAATAAATACAACTAATGTACACGGAGGTGTACCCTGTAATCCATTATCGCCCCACACTCGTGTCGGGTTGGGGCAATCACTCATCGAAATCTCTTTGACCCGCTGCCAAATCGTATATCTCGAGCATATGAATTATGTGTGGGGCACAAAATGAATTTCCCGGCTTCCAACAAGATGTTTATAAAAAGTGGAAGCGCTGGCTAAGGCTATGGGGCAGGGTGGGGTGGCGGATGGGGCGTGGTGTGGTGGCGCTGTGACTGCCATTAGACAACGCATTAATCTAATCATACGAGTTCATATGCGCCTTCCCAGAGACCGACTGCCTTAGGAATCATTGCTTCTTGCACACAAAAATCATGAACTCAAAAATGGTTAAGCCCCACACACGCACACACACAGGCAGCAAAGACATTTGCAAGTTGATTTATAAGCGCGCTGATGTCAGTTACGTGCAAAATGGCAGCAAGTTCTTTTTGCTGTTCTTCGTGTGCCTGCCCCACGCACGCACTCAGTAAGGTTACGAGCAACGGAAGCGGGGTGTGGGGTGTGTGGGGAGGTGGCTTACCTGCTTTTTGTGCTCAAGTTACAAAGGGTGCGGGGTGCGGGTTGCGGGAGCCGTGGAGTTCTTGAAGAGTATTTGGGCAAAGAAAAGGCTCGACTATCTCTCTCTCTCTCTTTTTCCTGGCATTGCGCAAATTGCTTGCAACACTTTTTGTGCCATTCACCTTCTCCGCTGCTTGTGCCTATGCCTGTGCCTTGGCTTTTATAAATCGCTTAGACATTCCCGCCCCCTACTACTCTTTCTCCCCTTCTCTTCATAGCAACAGCCAGTCAGCCCAGTCAGTGGCGACAACTCAAGTCAAAAGAAGCCCGAAAAACAGGAAGCTTGGAAGCGAGAGCTGGAGCAGCAGTGGGAACGGGAGCTGTAGTCCTCCCATCTACTTGTGGGGCTGCTGGCGCCACTCAAAACACATCCATCAGCAGCGTATTTGTATGAGACAGAGAGTGTGTGAGAGAGAGAGAGAGAGTAAAAAGGTTAAAGGTGTTTTTTCTCTACACAACTCTCACGGCTCTCAGCCATTGTAGCCGGTCCTAATTGTCAGGACTGCTGCTGATCCTTCGACTGGGGCGTACTTTTGTGTGCGCAGCTCGCGTAATGAAGATAATTGCTGCTAAGCGGATACGGGCGGATTTCTGAGACACCTACACAGAGCACAATCGCAGTCCCAGCCTCGTCCCCCCACCCCCCCATCCCCATCCCCAACCCCATCCGCTGTGTTGGCAAAAGAGAGCGAGAAAAATAAGTCAACAATGTGCTGGATTTTCGGCAGCAAAGTAATCCTTAAGATGTGAAAATATGTGAGCCACATTTTCGTTTATTTTCGAAATGAATATTAATTTTTCCATTTACTAATTGAAGCTTAAGCCTCTAACGTTTCGAAAGTTTCTCGTTTGTGCAATTTTCACTTTAGTTTTGATATACATTTCTAATCAGTTTCCAATTTTAATTGCATTTAATTGTTGCAAATGTTTTGCAACTCGTCAAAATTGATGCTATTAGTGCCTGGAAATGAGTTACATTTCAGGCTCTCAATTTCAATTAGATTTGCAATGAATAATTGCATCGAATGAATGATTTAAACAGCGGTCGATAGGTCGTTTATTGTTCACAGTTTACTCAAAGAGACTCTATATTCTGTGGGATCAGATGATGAAAGAATCGTAATATTAGTGGCAACTCCTTTGGGCAGCCTCTTGTTTGGCAGTCTCTTGCCGCCTCCATTCCCCTCAATCCTCACTCCACCTCTCTCCCTGCTCCACCTTTTTGTTTTATTTTGCTCTTTTTAATCGTTAGCTCATTTTGCCATTTTTAATTTGCCCAGAACGTGTCCCGTAGTCTGCCTGCTAGTCTGGGTTCTGGTTGCTTTGCCCGAGAACGACAGAGAGCGAGAGAGAGAGAGTGAGAGAGAAACTTGCATTAATTAAATTCTTTCAGCTGTTAAAAGGTGTCGACTCTGCTGCCTGCTCCTCCTCCTCCTGCAGCTGGGTGGTGCTCGTGTTAATTGTTGGTGTGTCATAGGAGCGGAGCAGGACGACGAGTTGCAGGAATTGCAGCATCTGGCTAATTGGTAAATGCTTTAAAGTGCCGGTTGGCTAACGACGCGTATGCGTAATAAGAACAAAAGTGGCAAGTAGAAAGTGGCAAATGGGACAAACTAGACTCCCAGCTATCCCCCCTTTGGCTGCCCCATCATCTCCCATCTCCCCATCATTTTTGACAGACGCCAACAATTTATGGCACAAAAACCAGATTGGGGCCGACGGATTATGCAACATGTAACAGGTTATTGTTCTTCTACCTCTAACTCTACATGCCTCTCCCCTCATTCCATTCCTGTCCATTGCTCTACATTATTTTGTTGCTTCATTTGTCTCGCTGGTTTCTTTCTGCCTTTTTTTCGCTTTTTTTT